TGGTTAACACGAGAAATAACTTTACTATGCCTTCTTATGCAAAAGTGTTTCCCAGATTGTATACATGCTCAAATACAATTGTGTAAAAGTTGAACTATGGAGAAAAAAATCATTGGTTGTTTTCATGTGCATCTACAAGATAAAGCTGTGACGTTAACACGAGCATTATACTAGTATACATAATTCCCAAACAACCATAATCTTTGGGAATACATAGGTTTTCCCATTTCGTTATGTGACATTTGTGTTTAGCTCAGCGTAGGGTAGGAGGAGACCCACTTCATCATGACTGTAATTCCCTCACAAAAAAGAGCATGATTGTAATTCAAGAAATTATATTAGTGAAACAAAGAAATTCCGGTCCGGCATTTTAGTGACTACCCCCACCCATTTTCTATTAGTGAGTTTAGCTCAGCGTGGGGTAGGAGGGGACGGCGGTGACAGACCATGTCAGGCCCCAAGGGGGGAATGAGATAGGGAAAGAATATGGGAGAATTCTTTATTTAGCACTAAAACAAATCACTCTTTCGTATTTGACACTGTAAATTTTGAACTTCCTTATCTAGCATCAACTTAAAAATTCCTTCCGTATATGGCACTTCCGTCCATTTCAGACATCCCTCCGTTAGTTGACTAGGAAGACCATGTCAGCCTTTTATTAGAAGTACCAAAATGCCCTCGGTCTCGTGCGTCCGTCCGTCTCCCCTTCTCCCCCGAGCTCCTCTCTCCCGTCGCTCCTCTGTTCTGAAAGAGAAACAAGAGACATGAAACCTCTCAAACCGAAACCCTAGAGAGAATGGAGGCCGGAGGAGATGAGGATGGGGAAAAGGAGGCGCTGGCCGCCGGTGCCCAGGAACTCACGGGGCGGGTCCCCCAGCTCGAGGCGCCCCACAGTCAGCCAAGCTCGCCCCATGGTCGCCTCGATCTGCGGCCATGGGGAGCTGGGGGACCCGCCCCGCGAGTTCTTGGGCACCGGCGGCCGGCGCTTCCTTTTCCCCATCCTCATCTCCTCCGACCTCCATTCTCTCTAGGGTTTCGGTTTGAGAGGTTTCGTGTCTCTTGTTTCTCTTTCAGAACAGAGGAGCGACGGGAGAGAGGAGCTCGGGGGAGAAGGGGAGACGGACGGACGCACGAGACCGAGGGCATTTTGGTACTTCTAATGAAAAGCTGACATGGTCTTTCTAGTTAACTAACGGAGGGATGCTTGAAATGAACGGAAGTGCCGATGCTTGAAATGAACGGAAGTGCCATATACGGAAGGAATTTTTAAGTTGATGCTAGATAAGGAAGTTCAAAATTTTCAGTGCCAAATATGGAAGAGTTATTTGTTTCAGTGCCAAATAAAGAATTCTCCCAAAGAATATTTGGTGTACATATTCTTGTGTTGACCTAAGCATGGAGGCTCTGGTTCCTTTCTTTCTTTCCTCGGAGATAGGTTTGGCTTTTGATGTGGTAGCTCTATTTGTTTTCTCTTCTGGAGGGGATAAGAAACGGAGGGAGGCATCAAATAGGAAGCTGGCTAGATAGTGGTGCCAACTCACCCCCATCACCCCATATCCCCCCAAAAAATGCATGCCAAATGCTAGGGAAAAAAATCTCCACCGGATGCTCGCTTTGCTTTCCTCTCCCTGTCACAGCACTTTGTGCGATCATCGATCGATTAGCCTGGCATAGTTAAGGTCTGTCTAATACCATTAATCCTTATTTTGTATTGTTTATTTTTACTTGGTCCTTTTTTCTTCTCGAGTAAAGTAAATCGAAGAACTACACCGGCGGTGGATTCATTTTCTGAAGAACTGGATTTCTTTGGGTTATTTCTACCGCACCTGCTGTATATACGTAACTCATTGGCAGTTACTATTACCGTGACGTTGAGATGTGCCTGAAATGGTGGTTGTTCTTACGTGTACAGCATTTCCGATGAATCAAGTGGTGGCAGCGCGTATTTTATTAGAGGAAGGTTGGGCAGAATGAAGTCCTCGAGATCGAACTGAATTCTAAAACATCTGTAAAGCAACGTCGTCATCCAGACCAAACACTGTCAACTGAGTTTGTGGGTGTGCCCTCTCCGTTCGATTCTTCAAATTTCCTTGCGTATAAGCAGCGAACTCCGTGGTTCCGGACTGACAGGGAAGTCGCAGCGGCTCCCTCCGTGTTTTTAGACAGCACTATCATGTGTGTACTTCAGGGACTTCGTGTACTCTCTCTCTCTGCCCCAGGAGTCGGTAGCACGAAATGCTGCTGAGATAATGTGCAACGATGTCCTTTTTAATTGCCAAAAGAAAAATAGCACTGGCCTCTTTTCTTTTCTTTTCTTTTTTTGAAACGGACAGAAAATAGTAGCAGACTAGCAGTGACTGGCAAATGCAGACCTGGGCAAATGGAGCATCTGCCCTGAGGTGCAGTGCCTGGTCAATTTTTGGGTACTGACTACAGTTACAGAATGGTAGGTTAGGAATGATTTCTGCAGGTGAAATGATTTTGCAGTCGGTAGCTTTGCTTTGCAGTGCCCACACTATGACCACACTCTGACCTGACGCTGCGTAGGCCAAAGGCAACAAGACAGCGTCTGTACGTATTTGTCAATCAAACCAGAAAAAAAAAACGAAGATGAAGTTGCCATTGGATATCAGCCAGCGGTTGGACACGCAAATCCGCCGTGCACGCGCGCGCGACGCGAGAGAGTTCAGGTGCTAAGCAAGGGGCGTTTGCTAAGTTTCGCGTAGAGACGGTGATTAGCCGGTCAGAGCGCAGTTGCTTAACACCGAAGCAGCAGCGACCTTGTAGCGTTCGCGCTCGGGGTCAAACGGGCTGTTGGCATCTACCTGCAGTTCAACTTTGCCGACTCTACTACACCTGCGTGTCTCGGACAAAATAGCAGACAACCGGTAGTAGGAGCCCTGTCAACCGGATAATAATCCCAGGGGAAAAACAAAAACATGTCCCGGAAGGTTCAACCATGGCTACGGGCAGCAACGGGGAAACAGAATGTTTTTGTTTTTTATATTAAAAAAAGAAAAGGAAAGGAAAAAGGAAGAGAAGAAATCTTGCTCGCTGGGAACCTGTGGCTCGCGTGTGGGCCCCGCCGTGACATGGTGCTGATTAGAATAGAATTATTAGATAGATATATATGATATCCGTCCACGTGTAGGTCATGTTCGGTTCTTTCGGAACGGAAGCCTGAAATTATTTCTAACCAGATTTCTTATGTAACTTGTATAATCATTGTTGAACTTGAACGATTCCTGGGCACAATCTGCAGTAACCAAACAAGGCTGTAGTGGGAGAATTAGCAGCCTGTTCGTTTCGGCTGAAACGATCGTGGATTATAAGTTAGAAGTACTGCTGGCTGTTTTGTGTGAGAGAAAAATACTATTTCAACTATAATCTACGATCGTATAAGCCGAAGATTAGGCGCACATCTGGATTTGCTGCTGGGGGGGCGTGATGGGTTCGTGTTGGGTTGGCTTGGCGGTTGGCTGGCTGGCTACTTGGCTCCCTCTCTCGTTCCCTTTCGCGGCGCGGAGTCTCCGTGCGTGCGTGCGCTCGTCGTGTCGCGTCGCGGCCATGTGACGCGCGCGCCCCGGCCCCCTCTCCTTTTGTGTTGTCTTGCTCTCGGGCGCGAGCGGCCATGCACACTCCCCAGTCGCGCACCAGCACCACATTGATGGCGTGCGTCCAGTTGCGCCGGCGTCGTTGCCTCCATGTCATGCGCTAGATCCAATTCCAACACAGATCACCGTGTAAGGCTGAGGAGCGAATCGCTCTGTGTGCGCATTAGTTGTGTTGTGTGTCACTGGAGCGTGTGTCGCGCGAGTGATGTCAAAACTCAGAACGACACCGGTGACCGGTCACCACAAAAAAGGCACAGGTTCGGTTCTCTTCTCCCTATCGTCGCCGGCGGGCACATACACAGCACTTGGACGCGCGCTCCGAATTATGTATAGGCCAGAAAATGATGCTATGCTAATGCTGCTAACGCCCACAAGTAGTAATCAAAGCGGCATCGAACTGGATCGAGCGGCTGATGAAGCCGGTAGTAGCCACCGACCAAAATGAATGATGGTGGACAGGCACCAAGACCGTATGGGGCCAGACGCGAGTGGCGGTAGTAGTTAGCCGGTAGGCCCGGCCGGGTCCCCATCCTTGACCCTGCCAGGAGGAGAGCTAAATGGGGTTCCCCTCGGTTCAAAAAAGTAGGACGAGAGCTAGTTACTGTTAATGCCGCTGCTTTGCTTTCGGCAGTCCCATGAGCTCTGCAGTAACCTCCCCCTGTCCTAACATCTAGTGTAGACGACGACCTCCATGGCTCCATTCCGACGAGGCGACGACACAGCTGCTGCCGTCCACGGATCGATCGTTCCGCTGGCGACTCGAGTGGCTAGCTAGGCAGCTAGCTATAGTCCAGCGGTTCAAAGACGCGATGGGCGATGTCACTGACAGCACAGGGCCATCTCTGTAAGCGGCCACCTGATCATGTTTCGTGTCGCCGTCGACTGCGAGCGAGCGTCCGGGTATACAGCACGAATGCGGCCAGCCTGCCACCGAGTACGAGTCGCAAAGCAGGGCCGCAGCAGATAGAAAACATGTCTTAAAGGAACGGTGCAAGCAAGTATGCATCCAGCACGAGTGTATTCCTCCAGCTGACAAATAAAGTCTGAAAGCTCTTGTTATAAATGAAACTCTGAAAGCGGTCTCAAAAGGGAAAATAAATTGAGCAAGTTGTTACACAACACCGCTATGATTCCCCCCATTCATTTCAGGAAATGCGTGTGTACTTTCTTCCGGCTCTAAAATGTTACACAAATTTCCACCTAAAAATGGCAGTCCCTTAAAAGCTGTGGTTTCGGAGTTGGGATCTGGGGGAGGACCCTCATCTAGATCTGCAGGTAGCTGACCCAGAGATATATCATGTATGTATCACACAGACTGACTGAACACATCTTCACTGTTGGCAGTTAGTGGTCCTGCGACAGGAATCCGGGTGTGTCTCAATGTCCTCAAGGACAACCGGGCCAATTCAGTGAAAGAACGTCAGGGTCTCTCATATTCCCATGTGCGAACACCTTGGGTTCTTTCACCTGCAGCAAACGTGGAAACAAAGAGGCAGTAAATTCTTAACAGAATAAGGAATATACTGGTGGCACAATAGTTATTGCAGGGTCCCAAATTTGCATGCTTTGTTTGATGAGCTAGTTACCATACCAGAGAAAGCGGGGGAATTTGGGGTTTAAGTTTTACTCTGGAGAATCCATCCACAGCAAACAAGCACTGGTAGCCACCAATGGAGCGGTGTTCACTGTTTCATATGTCCAGGATAAGAGATATATAGAGTACTAAAGCATCAGATGTCAAATCCATCAAATATTATCAAATGAACAAAAGTTGCTCCAAGCATTAAAAAAACTTGTTTGGTATCCAAAATGACTGCATGGTCCATTTAAACAAACTAATAAACTCACTTCAGTAGATAGGTGAAATTCCTTTTCTCAAATTCTTCAATGGGAATTTCTTCCTCCTTGGAGTATCTGCCAGAGAACAAAACATTATGCAAAATAAAATCATGAGAAAATTTAGATGTAAAGCGATGAAAGCTCAGAAATGGTGGTATAAAAATTTAAGATCAAAAGAATGCACGGCAATAAGCAACAAAGACAGACGCATCATCAAGTCACCCATTCAACATTGATGAATAGAAGACCAGTTTGAAAGTAAGCATTTCTGAAGGAAAACTATATGGCACCCAGGATGAAGCACACCCTGGACATCCAGGCCATTACCCTGTATCATTTTGATGGAGAGAAATTTGATGGGGTTATTCATCCGTTCAAAAGATTCTTTTTGGGGTACGAATGTGTAAACCTCCTTCACCAGCGAGCCCTTTCTTCTCCAGGATGCTAAGCTCTTTCTTCTCCATGTCTGGCGATCTCCATTAACTCGAGTCTGTTAGGGTTTCGGGTTGGGGTTTGGGGGATCTTGATGGCTTCCGGCTGTAGAGGGATGGCAGGGGAGGTAGCTGGCCCAGCCGTGGTGGCGGGTGGAACGATGAGGCGACAGGGGTGCCACCCACCATGGCGGTGGTGGACTGCGGTTGGACAGGGATGGAAGCAGGGGAGTCGTGCTCGCAGTGGTTAGCGTTGGCCGTGGTGGAGGGCAGCACCTTTGGCGACGCTGATGCTGCCAGATCCAGGAGGGGCAGTGGAGGCGGGGGAACAGGATTCATCAAGAGGAAGGAAGGCGGCTTGCATGCGGGGGTTGAGACGAAGGAGGCATGGGTGGGGATTGGGACAATCACAGCTCCGTTTCTCTTTGTCTACTTGTACCGTTTTGGACGTCTAGGATATCCAGAGGGTGCGTCATCCTGGTGGGCACAGAAACTGAGCTCCATTTCTGAATTCCATTGCTTCCAAATATGAAATTAGTATGCCACAACAAAAATTGGGAAGCGTATAAGGCAGACATGTCATGTAGGAGACTAAGTATAATTTGCCAAATATAGTGAAAGTGTAGTTTGCAAAGAAAGGGACGTGCCTGATTCAGTATTACAATAATTGCATCCTATAACGAAAGAGTACTTGTAAAACTAATATGAGCTAAGTTTAACCTGATAGTCCAAAATCAACAATCCAGAAAGAAAAAACTAATGGACTGGTGATATTAATAGATAATAATGAAAGAAGATTTCTCTTGATAGCAACCAACAGAAAAAATAAAATAGCATGCATATGAATTAATTTTGCCATTTAGGAACATACCTCCAAGGATATTCATTTTCACAGAAACGAGAAACCCCACTCATCGCAGTGAAGGCATCAATATGTACCATCTTTTCCTTCACTGAAGAATCTGCTAACAGAGGAATGCAAACATCAATCGCTACTGGTATCTGCCAACAAAGAAACACTTATTGTCCACAAACCTGATCATAGCAAAGGCCACTAAGAGTAGACAGGTGCTCAACTTGTCACTCTTTGCTTGTAATTTATTCAAACTTAGTTAATTTTTAATAAGAAGGGCGGGCCTGGGGAAAGCGGTAGAGTCTTACCGCCTGTGACCGGAAGGTCCCGGGTTCGAGTCGTGGTCTCCTCGCATTGCACAGGCGAGGGTAAGGCTTGCCACTAACACCCTTCCCCAGACCCCGCACAGAGCGGGAGCTCTCTGCACTGGGTACGCCCTTAGTTAATTTTTAATAAATAGACGCGCCTACGCCTAACTTGTAGTTTGACTATAGAACACAAGTGTTGCAGTTTCATGTATTCCACAGTAGTCATATAGCCCTCACCTGCTTCGTGTAGAGCCTTTAAAGCATAGCCACCAGGATAATTGTTGTAGGATGCCATAAAAGTCACAGTAGAGTATCCTAGACTACAGGAATCATATAAGTTATCGATGCTGAATATATTATGATATTCCAAAAATAGTTAAACGTTACAATCATCAAGGCAGAATATTCTACCTGACAAGAAAGGCACCAAGCATGAGAATATAAAGCAAATTCCACCCAGCTTTCTTTCGGTTGTTATATCTGGAAATGATGAAGAAAACCAAATATTGACTAGTTAAATCAAAAGGAAAGGAAATGGCACTTGAACAACATGGATTTTCATAAAGAAATGAGGCAAAAGGAAAAATGGTGCTAACAATCCCAGCTTGAATTTATCATTGTTCAATTGGTACGCAGTAGATAAGATAGTTGCTCACAGTCTGCTAGCTGCTAGTGAAGCAGACACATTAAACATGGGAATTGAGCCAATTATGAAACGAAGTTCCTGAAACATAAAAGATAACAGTCACTATGTGCAATTTTGGCCTAGGATTTCAGATTTAAGAATCAGACTACTATCCAGAGATGTAGAATAACCTTATGTGGAAGTTTTGAATAGAGCACAACAAATAAGAAGACCGGAAGCATGTAAGGTACTATCCTTCTATCAAGAAGAGCACCAACCTGAAATTGAATGGAAAGGCTTCGTCAGATACTTCTCCAGTAAATCAGTAATGCCTTAACAATACATCAAATCTCAACTAGCTATTGCATAGAAATTTAGAAATAAGGGCTTTTCCAAATCCAACCAAAGCTAAAGAAAACATGGTCCCTGTAAGAAAAATGGACCCTAGACCAATTTACTTTGGATTTTGGTGTTTGATGACCAACACAACCAAATTGGACTAATAAATTTGCAAGTAATTGTTTTGTAGTTCAATAGGGTGCAAGACGTGACTTGGACAAAGGCGACATGATGATCCTACGATCAACACCATAAGCAAGACCCTAGAAGCACAAGAGAAAACCCAAGATATCAAGCAAAGTCCAAGCCCGAAGATAAGAATCAAGCCGGACGCAAGATCGCGAAGAAACGAGCTTCACAGAGGTGACCGGACGTGGTCCTTATAGCGATCGGACGCCTTCCGATCAAGATGCTCGGCAACGGCAGGCGTCAGCAGTAGCGACCGGACGCTGAGGATTCAAGTGACCGGACGCGACGATGACACTGTTCACTATCGTGACAATAGCTCAGCACTGACCGGATGCAGGAGGGTGATCGACCGGACGCAGGAATTGCAGCGTCCGATCGAGTCCAGAGAGGTTCCAGAGCGGCGCCAGCGCGACCGGACGCGTCCGATCGACATTGACTGGACTCAGCGTCGAGTCCGATCAACGCGCTAGCTTCAACGGTTGGGACGACCGGACGCGTCAGGTCAAGACGACAGCAGCGTCCGGTCAGTAGCAGAAAGCTGGGTTTCGTCCCCAACGGCTACTTTCTCAGTGGGACTTATAAATAGACCCCCAACCGGCCATTTGAATATGGTGGAGCTGAGAAAACATACCAAGGGTGTTAATACACCATTATAATAATCTCCACTTGCATAGTGCTTGGTGATTTATTAGGTGATTAGCGTAAGTGCTTTGCGAAGTGGTTAGGTTGATTAGACCACCGCTTATGCGCTTGCTCTAGGTTTAGGCCTAGTGTTTAGTGAGGTTTGCACACCTCTTAGCACTCGGTGCTTGAGCGCACCATTGTTGTACATCGGAGGGGCTTGTAGTCTTACGAGATCACACCAACCGCGTTTGTGGTGTGGCCGCTACCGTGTACCGAAGGGAACAAGGCCCGCGGCGGTTCGGCCGGAAGCTTGATAGTGAAGACGGCGGGGAGCGGTCCGGGAGAGGCTTGCCAGAAGGCACCGGAGACCCACTTGCGCGTGGGGAAGGCCCGGGACTATCCACGGAGTTATTCGACCGGGAGCTTGGCCCTAGCGAGGGATTCCTTGCGAGAGGCTCCAACGAGGACTAAGGGAAAGCTTGCGCGCTTTTCGATACCTCAGTAAAAATACCGAAGTCGTCGACGCGAGTTTGTATATCTCTACCTTACTCTTTAGCTTCCGCATTTACATTGTTTGCGTAACTTCTTTTGCGGTAGAGATAGCAACACACTAGCAAAACAGTAGTTGCACATTTAAATAGTTTATCTTTTACATAGGTTTTGCTAAGAATAGAAAAATAGGTCATAGTTTAGAGTTAGAGTTTTAAGTTGCCTAATTCACACCCCCCCCCCTCTCTCTTTAGACGTCACGGTCCCCTTTCAATTGGTATCAGAGCCGGTTGGCTCAATTTGGACCTTTGGCTTCATCGACGTTGAGCCGACGCTATTTAGAGTGGTTGTGATGGATACTTCTAGGCCTCCGTACTTTGACGGCACTAACTTCCCTTACTATAAAGTTAGAATGGCTTGTCACCTTGAGGTAGTAGATTTGAGTGTTTGGAGAGTCACTCGTGACGAGATGAAACCCATTAAGAATCCCGATAAACCCACAAAGAGTGAAGAAAAAGAAATTCATTTTAATGCTAGAGCTAAAAATTGCTTGTTTGAATGTTTTAGCATGGATGTGTTTAACCAAATGTCCACTTTAAATACGGCACATGAAATTTGTTAAAACTCCAAGAGCTCCATGACGGCACAACTAGTGTCCGTGAGCAAAAACATTGTCTAGCTAAACAAAATTATGATTCATTTAAAATGAATGATGATGAGCTTGTTCGTGATATGTATTCTTCTTTGAATCTAATTATCAATGAGCTCCATTCAATATGATTAACAAAGCTAGATGATGCGGACATCGTGAGGAAGATCATCTCCGTACTACCACAAAAGAAATATACAAGCATCATCACCATCCTTCACAATATGGAGGACTTAAGCACCATGACCCCAGCCATAGTCATTGGCAAGATAGTGGCATTTGAAATATCACGCAAGATGGGTCAAGAAGAAGCCTCTTCATCAAGCAAAAGCAAAGCTCTCACATGTAGTGAGAAAAAGAAGATGAAGAGCAAGCAAGTTGAGACAAGTTCAAGCTCCTCAAGTGAAGATGAAGAAGAGGATGATGATGATGATGATGATGTGATGATGATTCGAGTGATGATGATCAATCTTCCTTCTCCACCTCCGACCTTGATGAAGAATCCATCAAACTTATCAACAAGGTGGAGAAGATGATCCAAAGGCTCAATGTCAAGTGTGTCCATCCAAATTCAAGATTTTATCTTCACCAATCAAAGAAATGAGCAAAGAAAAAAATGATGCTATGGATGCGGCGAGTTAGGGCACTTTGTGGAAGTTTGTCCAAACAAGCCCACACCCAAGACAAAGAATAAGGCGTGCAAAGACAAAGCCCTCACATCAATAAGGTCATGGGATGATTCTTTAAGTGAAGAAGAAGACCATCACAAGAGACGAGGGCACAAGCACTCATCATCAAGCACCTCACGTGTGTGCCTTATGGCACGAGGTAACAAAAAAACCTATCCCTAGTGATAGTGACAATAATAGTGATAGTGATGATGAGCTACCTTCTTATGATGAAATTGTGCAAGAAAATCTTAACTTTGCTAAAGTTTGTACTCGTCAACAAAAGAAGCTTGAAAAATTAAAAGATAAACTAGATAGCTCTCAACAAGCTTATGCTACTTTACTTGAACAATATGAAACTTTTGCCAATCTTAATATGGAACTATCTACTAAAATTGAGCAACTTGAGATTAGTGCAAACACAAATAATTGCACAATCAATGATGAACAACTTGTAAAGAAAAATAAAAAATTAAAGAAAAAGTTAGCTAGCTCATAAAATGCTTATAAAAGTTTGCTTGCTAAAATAAAAAAACTATGTGCAAACATTGTGATGAGCTAACTAATAAAGTTACTAATTTTGAAACCATTAATACTACCCCACCGAGGCATCTAAAAACGAAAAGTTCTATATTTGACATGCCTAAAAATGATATATCTACTTACAATGATTTATGTTTAGACTCACCCTTGTGCAACCAATTTGTGTTGAGAAAGTTGTTGTAAATACATGCACACCAGAGGTTGCAATGAAGAATGAGCAACTCAAGCAAGAAGTGGCTCGTCTCACCAAAGACTTACTCAAGTGAAAGGCAAGACGGAGCAAGCCCAACTTCATCAATATAACACCATCAAGGGAGTGAAGAAGCTTGATAAAGGACAAACCGTTATTTGCTACGTGTGCCACAAGGAAGGCCACAAGTCCTATGAGTGCAAGGTGAAGAATGGGGGAGGAGCTAAGAAGAAAGAGAAAAACAAAAAGAAAACAAGAAAGCTCTCCAACACCTACACCAACAAGGTGGACAAAAAGGCCTCCACACCGTATCTCTTGAACAAAAAGAAAAATGACAAGGTGGTGGCCATCGAGGTGAACAAGCAAGCCAATAATGGGGCTAAACGCGTTTGGGTGCCAAAGGAGATCATTTCCAATATGAAGAGCACCAAGAAAGTTTGGATCCCGAAAGAAAAGTGAGAAGTCAAACGGACTTCGGGAAATTTAGAGACTTGACAAAGTATGTGTGCATTTAATGGGGTGCTTCATTATGGACAAGGTAATTACCCAGTGGATTAGTAAATATTATGGACCAAAATTCTCCTTCTCATGATAAGTAACTAGATTTAATTTCTTGAAATTTCAATTAGCATCCAGTTCCTTTTCATGCCTAGGTTTGCATTTGTATGCTTAAATCCTTTGACATGCATACACTAGGTATATCTTATGGCAGGCTTGCTCGGTTTCATTCTTAACCTTTGGAGCAAACTTACATGGTTTAAATTGCTTAAGAGCACGGCACATAGCTTGTTTTACAATTGTTCATCTAATATGTGCCAAAGTCCAAATTGTAGATAATTTCTCCCGAATATCACCTTCGAAAATGATTCTCATATTCATGTGATGTCATCTTTCAAGTGGTATTTTTTATTCTAAAATCAATGTGCATGTCTCCTACAAGTATTCCATACTTGTGTGCACAAATTTAGGGGGAGGTTACTCTATAAGTTGGATGCTTTGAGACTAACATCTTTCAAGCTTATCATGTGTGTAGTAGTCTCATTGCAAGAAAAATGGAGTCCCCGAAGTTAAACATCATACTTCAAATATCTACGACCTATTGAAAGTGCTATGAAACAAATTGGTTTCCACATGTGGTATTTCTAAACCGATATCATCATATTGATTTCACTTTGGTATTTATATGCTTTCTCCATGCATTATATAGATTAAACTCCTTTAAGCATTAATTTGCCAATTATGCATAAACTACATTCTCCATCATATGTATGTATATATTTAGGGGGAGCTTAGTCTATGTAATGAGAGTCAAATTTTGTGACCTATTCCACTCCACATACAAATGATCACAAAGTTTGATCCTCCCTTATGCTACTAATGTCTTCCTTTTCGGTGTTTGATTTCAAAGGGGGAGAATTTGTAGGACCAAAAGCAAGTCCGATCATAATAATTTACAAGTGGTAATGATCCGAGAAAGAGAGGATAGTGGATTATGGAATTAGGGGAGGCTTAAATCCATAATACCACATGGGGACATTTGCAAGGGCAAGATAAGTTTCCAAAAATGTTTACGTGTGGTATCTTTTAGCATCATATAACCTTGTCCTTTGCATTGCATCCTAGCAAGTAAATAGTTTTAAAATTCAAAAAAAAAATTATTTGCTTATTTTGGTCGTGTTGTCATAAATCACCAAAAAAGGGAGAGATTGTAAGCAAAATTGACACTACGCACATTTACTTTGGATTTTGGTGTTTGATGACTAACACAACCAAATTGGACTAATAAATTTGCAAGTAACTGTTTTATAGTTCAATAGGGTGCAAGACGTGACTTGGACCAAGGTGACATGATGATCCCACGATCAACACCATAAGCAAGACTCTAGAAGCACAAGAGAAGACCCAAAATATCAAACAAAGTCCAAGCACGAAGGAAACCAAGTCGGACGCAAAATCGCGAAGAAACGAGCTTCACAGAAATGACCGGACCCGGTCCTTATAGCGACCGAACGCGTCCGATCAAGATGCTCGGCAACGGCAGGCGTCAGCAGCAGCGACCGGACGCTAAGGATTCAAGTGACCGGACGCGACAATGAACCTGTTCACTGTCGCGACAATAGCTCAGCACTGACCGGACGCTGGAGGGTGATCGACCGGATGCAGAAACTGCAGCGTCTGATCGAGTCCAGAGAGGTTCCAGAGCAGCGCCAGCGCGACCGGACACGTCCGATCGACAATGACCGGACTCAGCGTCGAGTCCGATCAACGCGCTAGCTTCAACGGTCGGGACAACCGGACGCGTCCAGTCAGGATGACAGCAGCGTCCGGTCAGTAGCAGGAAGCTGGGTTTCGTCCCCAACGGCTACTTTCTCAGTGGGACTTATAAATAGACCCCCCAACCGGCCATTTGAGTATAGTGGAGCTGAGAAAACATACCAAGCGTGTTAATACACCATTTTAATGATCTCCACTTGCATAGTGCTTAGTGATTTATTAGGTGATTAGCGTAGGTGCTTTGCGAAGTGCTCAGGTTGATTAGACCACCGCTTATACGCCTGCTATAGGTTTAGGCTTAGTGTTTAGTGAGGTTTGCACACCTCTTATCACTCGGTGCTTGCGCACCATTGTTGTACATCGGAGAGGCTTGTAGTCTTACGAGATCACACCAACCGCGTTTGTGGTGTGGCCGCCACCGTGTAGCGAAGGGAACAAGACCCGCGGTGGTTCGGCCGGAAGCTTGATAGTGAAGACGGCGGGGAGCGGTCCGGGAGAGGCTTGCCGGAAGGCACACCGGAGACCCAGTTGCGCGTGGGGAAGGCTCGGGGCTATCCACGGAGTTACCCGACCGGGAGCTTGACCCTAGCGAGGGATTCCTTGCGAGGGGCTCCAACGAGGACTAGGGGGAAGCTTGCGCGCTTCTCGATACCTCGGTAAAAATACCGGAGTCGTCGACGGGAGTTTGCATATCTCTACCTTACTCTTTAGCTTCCGCATTTACATTGTTTGCATAACTTCTTTTGCGATAGAGATAGCAACACACTAGCAAAACCGTAGTTGCACATTTAGATAGTTTATCTTTTGCTAAGAATAGAAAAATAGGTCATAGTTTAGAGTTAGAGTTTTAAGTTGTCTAATTCAATCCCCCCCCCCCCCACACCCTCTTAGGCGTCACGGTCCCCTTTCAGTCCCTATAAACACAGTTAAAGATAATAAGTTCTTGGTTAATCCTTATAGCATTAATCCCTTACAATTAATATCTCAAAGCGAAAATGGAAATGGAAAACATGGCTTTTATTATCATCATCCTTTAGGTTCTTAGTCATATGTCGGCATCACTTCCAAGCAAAAGAAGAGTACGTAGGGTCAAGAAAAATGACGTGCAAATATGTTGGAAACAATATGTTGTAGGTCATTCAAAATTCAAACAGATTATATGATAGTTCTAATCAGGCAAGATCTGTCTTACCATGCAAAGAGGGTATGCCACAATCATGGAACGTGGAAGCGCCGAGGTAAAGTACCAATGAATTGAGTGGGTCTTAAGCTTAAGTCAAGGAGAACAGAGGTATGTCATTCACATCAGCACCAGTGTATCATGTTTTGTTATTTTGTTAATGCATAAATTGAACGGAACATGCAGCACACGCAGAAAAGCAACATAAAGGAAGATGATAGCAAACTAATATCTGGGGGAGGAAAGAAATATAAATGTAGTTTCACAAAAGCATGAAGGATACACCCCATTCTGAGCTCCGATTCAGAACTGAATTAAACCAGAGAACTTGAAATTCTGGCCACAGGATTCGACGCCACATTATAGAGTCAACTAGCACGGTAAATCCTGTGAAAAGAAAACATAGTGCACCAAAAAAATTCTTACAGGTTTGTGTGACAATTCCATCACAGAATACACAAGGCAACACACAAAGAAACATACCGATGCATATAAGGGCAGTGCTTATGCAATATTTTACTGCTTCCAACAGAGAAACAGATCTGCTCTGTCATAACATAGTGAAATTCATATATTAGAGTGACTCAGCACCAACTGTACAGAATGCATGAAACCATCAAATAAAACATGGTGTACAGATGATTCTTAAACACCGTAGCGACCCTACAACTTCAACTTCAAGATCATTGCAAGGCGTGGTATGTGGCTATAAGATATTGCCCTAGCTCACTACATGAACACAAAATGTGATGTGCTGAACGTCTGAGAACTCATTGCAGAGAGCTCCCGCTCTGTGCGGGGTCGAGGGAAGGGTGTCAGTGGCAAGCCTTTTTTTCTCCAAAACACAGGAGAGTTGCGCCTCATTATATTAAGAAGAATGAAAGGGGCTAGAGCCCTACAACACACACCACACACAGCCCCACATAAACCTAGGAATTACATTCGCGCCTGATAAAGGGCAATGCCAGTGGCAAGCCTTACCCTCGCATGTGCAATGCGAGGAGACCGCGACTCGAACCCAGGACCTTCTGGTCACAGGCGGTAAGACTCTACCGCTTGCACCAGGCCCGCCCTTGCTGAACGTCTAAGAACTCAAAGCTGAATTTGGAGCATTATGAGCAAAGCTGCTTGGAACTTCATTCAAGAAATCTAAACAACACATTCATATAGAAACTGTAGAACTGTAGAAACAATATTGAAAATATAAAATATTTCTGAACAACAGTACCACTTCCTAGAAAGGAATACAATGTTGAAAATATAAGTAAAACTGTAGAAACAAGCAGAACTATGCAAGTAATGAAATAAAATAGGTTTGGACATTGCGTAGGTCAGAGACTCACGAGCAAAAGTGCAAGCCCTATTGGGCCAAGAAGCAGAATCATATCACATCTAAAAACAACTGCTGCAACAATCTGCAAGAAAACGAAAATTATACAGTACACAGTTCGGTATGATTTTAATTAAATAAAAGCTTTAATCCTTTGACTCAGATTCTTGGTGCTGAAACGAAGAATTATATCTTGGTGCTGGAACTAATGATTATATCTGAATTTGGTGAGAACCGAGCTTCCCTCGGTAGGTAAGGCATCAGAAAAAAGGCATAAGGCATACCAGAGCCTGTAATGTACATAGGTAGCTTCCCTTGAACCAGAAAGAGTATGCCAAGTTGACTGCACGACATAAATCATAGAAGAGTCACATTTTTTTCCCCGCAAACTCCTACATTTTTGTTGTTGACAAAAACTTGATCGAAACAGCTTTCAGCTTTGTTATACAGTGTGATCTGTGCTTACCTAAAGCTAAAGCAAAGATATTTGGAAGCGGACGGCTTGAGTAGAACAGCAAGTGAAACTGGATAGCAGTTAGTACCACAAAGAATGCTTCTGCTTGATGGCCAAACTTCTTTTTTACCTGGTTGTTTAGAAGACAGTCAACCGAAGCATGATATCCAATTATAAAAGTACCAGAAATCCAATATGAGCTCTTAAATAAAAAGTTATCACAGCGAGCACAACCACTAATCAATACAATGCATGCCAAAATTATATCTGCCCCAACTTCCAAGAGGAAAAAAGGCAGAAGAAAAGCTAGGATTTGAAAGAAGAGCAGCTTGTTGCTGTGTGATGCTCTAGAATCCAGACAAGTGAACCATACATCTACATTCTACAGTACGTACTGTAATGAACAACTATACCAGTCTTAATTAAATTTGGTTCATTGTACCAAAAGTCCGCATGATACTATATTTAAATTGGACAAGAAAGACTTCTTTAGTATATTTAATTCTCGATCATCTTTCTGCGAGCTGTTTCCATGCTGTTATTTATTTGTGTCATTCATTTTCGGTAAACCATTATGTTTTCAGAATACCAATACCAACAGAAAGCAGTAACCCACACACTGACAGTATTCAGTGTCAGATATAGTGAGAGATGAAAGAAAAGAAAACCTGAACTCTGAGAAGTCTCAAACTCATCAAAGTGACACAACTCAATGTTAATCGAACTACAAAAGGAAACAGAAAAACATCAGTCTTCCAAAACTGCATCAATGAGAAATTAAACATCAGATAGCATAAACATCCAAGGAAGATTATGTACAGAGCTTTAATGATCACCTGTAAGAAGACTATAGAACTTTGGAACATGAAGTAAACGCAATACAAAGACTGTCGGTGATGAGAGAATAGAGATAACAAATGCTCCTGAAAAAAGCAGATGGTACATCATGTTAATGTTATAATTTCACATCAAGACTACAAGGTCTGCAACAAAAAAAAAACACACACACACATAAGAAATCATGTTTTTGTCTTGGAGCTAAAAGTATAGATGGTAGGCTATAAGAATCATTAGTGCAAAAATTGATCATTGAGAAAATACTGTTTCATGCTGCACAAATTAAGGGTGGGTTTCATGCCATCATGAATTTTACCTATAAATGTTCGAGGAACAACTCCAGGAAATTCTAAATGATCATACTGCATAAAACCATGAAAAAAACATAGTAAAAATCAATCAATAAATACCAGGATATTATACTAGAGCAAATTTGGAGAGTTGCTAGCATTCTAGTAAGTTACCTTCTCGATGTGATAACTGTGACAAAGAATATCATGCATGGCCTACCAAAAAAATCAATTATGTGATTAGCTCAATCACCAGAAATGCATGACAGTAAAGGTTTACTCTCAAGACAGAGAAGGTAAAACTATTCTATTAGATGAAGGGTAACAATGTAAAACTATGTATAGGTATAGTTAAACTTCATTCTCGGCAATGGAGAGGTATTCATCATTATACAATGAACAACAGAGACAGCACAGATTTCACGGGATAATCCCAGAAAAATAAACATGTTGTTTTCACACAAAGAGCACTGAAGCACAATATCCCATAAAAGAACTACAGTACCGCTTTTTTTACTGCATAATTGAGGTATGAATTATGATATGAAACTTATTCTGTTTGGGATATGGAAATAAGATCTCTTCAAGTTATGAATAGGCAAATGCTGTAAGAATGCATCTGCATGACTGTTGCCATGGCAAAGAAACATGTACTCATCAACAGTAATAAATCCAACACTACCAGGTGCAGTGCAGTTGAGTCCCTGGAAACAAAAAAGTTATGCAACTTAAGTCTTCTAAGACAAAGGACTCCTGCCATTTCCATTTTTTTTAAAGTTATTACAGGACTTGTAATTGTGCAAAAGAAACACAAATTGGCATTCGATAATGTGAAACACTAGAAATTTGCACAACATATGTGGATATAATTGTAAAATGGTCATGAATAAGCATGCCTGATTGCATATCAGTTACCAACAAATATAAAACAACTTGTACCAACTAAACATATTCAAATGCATTTAAAAAGATGTTGGCATTTTGCGCCATGACACTCCCTTAAAGTCACTAAGTTCATACAATAATTGCTGCAAAAGAAGTCTCAGACGCAACCGCGTTGAGCAGTAAATTAATCCACACCATAGGATGAATAGCAGCGTCCCATAATTAGGTACAAGGTTAATAAGCCCCACAAGTCAGAGTGGGAGGAGATGAGCCCGCGAGGCACGCCAGGCGGGGGATGAGGCTATCGATGGCCGCCGGAGGATGAGAAGGCGAGCATGCGATTGCGACCAATCCAGAACTCTAACAATGGAGCAACAATACTGCAACAAAACTACAAGGAAGGACTAGAGGCTGGAACCTGCACGTTGAAGCTCTCCTCCACCTTGGTGTAGGGCGACATGACGGCGTAGAACGCGGCGATCGATCCGAGCATGAGGTCCCACCCCCACCGTGAGAGCCAGCCGCCGCCGCCGCCGGCGGCGGCGGCGGCAGCGGCGGGCTTGGGTCGGGGCATGGGCGGGAGCTGAGGGTCGACTGAGGAGCGGCGGGCGGAGGATCCGGCACTCCGGCAGAGACGGAGTGAGCAACCGGCGGCGTCGACCTCGCCGTTGTGTGCGCGGAGTTAGTGGCAGGCCTTGTCGGGCTCTTGTTGTTAGGCCTGGCCCAATGTAAGTCAACAGCCCAGTTAAGCTAGGCTTTAGCAAACGGCCCTCCTTGCGTGCTGGTTGTTGCGGGCCGCCTTGCTACTGCTACTGCTGTGCGCATACCCGTTCATGTTAGCGTATTTTCTGTGACAAAAAGTTCGTGTTCGCCATAAAGGTACCCCCATTCATGCTGTTGTATATTTTTTTCAAAGGTCATACTGTTGTATTTTCTGACAAAAAATCATGTTCACCATAAAGGTACCCATCATTCTCAACAACTTAATTCCATAACATTTTCTATTTCTATCACACCGATATTCGTGTCGAAACTCATATTTCTTCTTGTGGTAATAAACTTCAGACAAGGGGTCATCTTTTGTGCTATTTATGTACAAGCTGCTAGCTGCGTTCCCGACCGCGAATAAGTCTCAAAGTTCTACCTTCCCGATGCATTCAGTCAGATATACACGAACATGCATGTGAATAATGGAAGTTTGTCTGAGCTCATGTTGGTTTACTTGCATGCTCGCAGCAACTGCTGTTTCGCAATCATTAGCAGCTGCACGCATGATGACTAACGAGCTGGCTTCTCTGTACAATTAACCCCACGTGATTACCAATGTGTGTACTGCCTACAGGGCTACAGGCCACAGCAGCAAGCGAGCAAGGTGGCCTGGCCTCGCTTTCTGTGCCTTATTACATGCATGGCAGCCATGTCTAAAGGCTTTAAGCAGGCACGCGTACCCGTTCCAACAGTATCAGATGTGTTCTGACGCATCATGCATGTGTAACAAAAGTCTCCAGTAGATTAGGATGGACCTTGCAGCTACTGCTGATTCATTGATTGATTACTTTCTACAAACGTAAAGCTTTGCACGCCCGCGCGCATCGATCTCTAGAGCGACGTGAAAGCGCAGCTGCCACTGTGGTCGGCGTCGGCGTCGTCGCTGCAGGGGGAGTGCGTGTGGCGGCCCTCGTAGGTGGTGATCACCATGCGGCAGTCCTCCGACAGCCTCTCCACTCGCTTCTTCACGCGGCAGTTGCTGTGGGTGCACCGGTAGTAGCTCCTGGAAGTACGCACGCAAAGTGATAATTTAAAGGCTGACCAGCCAACTGAAACCATAAATTAAATTATGAAGTTTAAAGCTTTGAAACAATTCGTGCTTGTATATGAATCTAGCTGCACCAAGTTAGAGGAAGGCCTCCTTGGCCTCTGAAGATCGATCCAAGCACTAGTAAGCACACTGTCAAGCTGAATATATCCAGTTTTTTTTTTCTGTTCAAATCTGGTGATTCATGCTACTGGTGTGGAAATACAATGGTTTACTGAAAAAATCTCACTTCCCAAGAAGTTACAATTTCAAATTTAACCAAATATATAAAAAAAAATTACTAACATTTATGATACCAAATAAATATTTTTAGATTAATTATGAAATATACTTTCAAAGTAAACCTACTTCAAGACATAGTTGTTGATAAGATTTTCTATAAACTTGATCAAACTTAAGAAAGTTTGACTCATCCCAAACCTAGAATTGCATTTCTTTTTGGATGGAGGGAAAAAATGGTTGGTGACATATTTCACCATGCTGGGTATCTAATGGAAATAATGACAAGTTATCAATTTTTGGGACCCCAATATGTGGTTTCAAACTTTTAATCAGGGTTGTCAGGATCCTGATCGTGATCTTAGAATCGTATATCTTATACAGTCCTACCAGGCCGAAATGGTACCATTCCCGCCATGTATCCCAAATTTCATAGTATATTGATCCTATTCGAAAATTCCACACGATCTCATAAGATCATTAGATCTTACAATACATAATATTGATATAGATGACCTTAGAAGTGATTGGGTTTTGATAAATATTATTTAAGGCTAAGGTGGATTGAAATTTACGAAAATCCAATTAAATCTTACCTAGAATCCTGATTTTAATAACCTTTGTTTCAATTATGCATGAGAACTCACGAAAAAAAATTATTCTTCCAGAATGATAATTTTACAAGGTAGGTTGAATGCGTGGAGTTTTAATTGTACACTAGGCTACTATTTGTATTTTCTGTGAATTTTAATTGGCCGTATATATGCATGGGTGATTGTATTCTGGCACTTATCAAAAGCATTCTCATGAGATGAAAACATATAAACAGGGCATATAGATTCAGCCTCTATACCCTCTAGGCCTCTACTACCAAAAGGAAACACTTACAAGTGAACACATGTAGCCTGAACAAAATTCAAAGAGACTACGGGCCAACAATCATGGACAGGTCGGCCTGCGCGCCTTTCCAACGGCGCATTGAGTGTCTGAAGAAATTGTGCTGTGAATATGTGTGCACCATTTTGCATTTATCCCAGCACATGCATATGCACTCGTTCCTGTTCATACGTGTCCCTATTGCTACAGATCATGAATGATGATATGTTTTACTAGTGCATGCTGACATGCCGTAGATGGCGTGCATGATCAGAACTTAGACCAAGCAAGAGAAAATTAAAAGATGTCTTTTACAGATCCTTTAAACTGATATTTTTAGAGTTCCAGCAACTATGCATGAATTCATCTGTCCTTTCATTTTGTAGTATTCCATTGTGACTCTTCTCCTTTGGGAAAAAGGTTGCTTGGTGTGGCTTTCTGCACCAACATTTTGGTGAATGCATGGCATTTTTGGGTGAAACAAAAGAGAAACACTAAATAAAATAAACATAGCAGAGCTGCCTTTTGTACATCATCTATCGCTGATGCTGCCACAAAAACGTGCCTAATGTCATATTACTAAATAAACAACTTAGCCATAAAGTTACTTAATTATATAGCCGGCACCTAGGTGTATATATCTGAGCTAATTTAGTACCCAGCCTATTTGGTTCGTGATAATATGTTGCATATGTTATAAAACTCAACAAAACAGTTTTCCCTTGTAAACACAAATAAAAGTATTGCCAAGCACATCAATTTGGACGACACTCACTCTTCCGACAATATTCCATATGATATATTATTAGCAACCTTGATCTTTCACATGGATAAGCTAGTTGAACAATATCATAAATGCCCATGGAATCAATCTTTCCTATGATCGGTCAATGAAGCTAGGCATCAATCTTTGTTATTACTGCCCTTTTCTCAAAATGTGAATTTGCATGGTTCACATATAGACTTGTATATAAAATTGCTTGCTCTTATAGAATGTAAATTTTTTTGCAAAAGAATAAGCGATAAATTTTCGATATGGACATATGGCCAGTCTAAAAAGTTAAAGAATATATATGTGTGCTCGAACTTTAAAAATTTATGGATCTCAACCTAAGTTGTTGGTTTGATTTAAATCTTCACTGTTTAGCTGATTTCAGAAATTGACAAATTAAAATAACTCATTTTTTTGAAAGGAATTCAAACAACTCAATTCCCATAGTAGCAGTGGGGAAAATTCATGTTCGGAAAGAGGCATTAGGGTTAGGATCGCCATATATATACTATATATATACATACATATATTGCTGCGTATACCTTGGATGGAGGCTGTTCTTGACAACCTTCTGGCCGTACTTCCTCCACTTGTAGCCGTCGTCCAACACGTCCACGTCGCTCCTGGTCTGGAAGCAGAACCTCGGTTCCCTCATCTTCCTCCTCACCTTCATCCGTCCTCCTTTCTGCCCCGCCGCCGCCGGGCCCTTCCACCTGCTCAACTCATCAACAACAGATGTAGATATTCTCCCAATCAGTTCGTCAGCGCGAGAACGACCCCCCGCCCAGCACTACAAACCCTAACATTGGGTCAACCACACTACTCAACTATTGCTCCCAAGCGTGCAAGAATCAACAACAACAAGTGGGTTATGGTGAGGTCATACGTACCGATTGCAGGAACTTGGGCCGTTGCATGTGGTGGTGGTACTAGCGATCTCGGCGGCGGCTTTCGCCACTGAGGTGCGGCCCGCCTGCTAAAACCAAGATTACAAGGGTCGGTCAAGGAACAGCCCAGATCAGCAAGTCATTTAACCAGCTGGGCGCACGGGACAAGGGATCACGGGAGTCGCTTCATTTACCTCGCCGGCATCGAGCGCCGCGAAGCCGGTGGTGGTGGTCTTCTCGCAGGTGGCGGCGGCGGAGGCGGCGGAGGGGCAGAACGGGATGCCGGGAAGCAGCAGCGGGTACAGGAGGCCGCCGTGGTGGTGGTGGTCCGAAGAGAGCATCACGCCATGATTATTCGCAGACTGCTCCTGGACCAACGGCATCTGCAGAAGCTTGTGCTGGTTCGGCAGCGGGGCAATAAGAGGATGCGGAGGGGCGCATGGACTGAGCGCGTAGAGGCTAGCAGGAAGGAAGGTCTCCAACAGCTGGCTGCTCCCCTCCATGCACGCATATAACAAGATCGACCGTGCAGGTGTGTGGTGGTGGTGATCAATTGATCGATGGATCAGGATCAAAGAGGTATTGGGGGCATGAGTGAGCGAGTATGGGAGATGCCTAGGAAGATTTCTGTCTTTTTTAGGTTAATAAAGAAAGAAAGTGGTGGACAAGCTTGAGCTTGGTATATGGTAGCCAGGTCTGGACAGGGACAGCCCCTTTAAAGAGCCTTTTGCTCAGATGGTGGTGTGATGGCAGTACCTGTGTCCTGTAGCGGTGTTGTACGGAGTAAGCGTAAACTTGGCCAGACTTAGGCCGCGTTTAGTTGGCCACCGGATTCGGTGCCGGCTGAATTTGCGCACTGTAGCTATACTGTAGCATTTTGTTTTTATTTGATAATAATTGTCCAATCGTTGACTAATTAGGCTCAAAACGTTCGTCTCGCAAAGTACAACCAAACTATGCAATTAGTTTTTGATTTCGTCAACATTTAGTACTCCATGCATATA